ACAATCCATCGCAGCGCCAATGTGCTCACCATCTCACTCAAACGCTTTGCAAACTTCAGTGGAGGCAAAATCACAAAGGTAAATGGCCAATAGTGTCTGCTTAAGTCATAAAGATACATGACAGATGCTTTGTTTTATTATAAAACAGGATATTTGCATATAATGTTTGAAATTTTTTGTTTGGTGGTCATCAGGATGTGAAGTATTTGGAGCATCTGGATCTGCGGCCCTTCATGTCTCAGTCCCACGGGGAGCCCCAGCTCTACAGGCTGTATGCTGTGCTGGTTCACTCTGGATTGAGTTGTCATGCTGGACACTATTTCTGCTATATTAAGGTACTGGCTGTGCCCGAATCTGTTTGAATGTTGCTGTTGCTTAGTACAAACAAACACACACCATAAACAACACATTTCAGCAGAAAACTGAATGCAAACAGAGAAAAAAGACCCCTGTATAACCATAAGATTCTTCTTTTTAGCTCAAATTCAATTCAGAAACCGAATCTGCTGTGTCACATCTCTCTCATTCTGTCTCACAGGCCAGCAATGGGCAGTGGTTTCAGATGAATGACTCGTCCGTGTCAGTCAGTGACATTAGGAATGTCCTCAACCAGCAGGCCTATGTCCTCTTCTACATCAAGTGAGTAAACATCGGTATTTTTAAACATTCTAGGCTTATTCCTTCAGTAGAACTTTTCCCATCATTATTTAATAATGTAGACATGTTTATTCCCACTTTTCTTGTAGAAAATGTATTATTATAACCTAATGTTATAATTTTGATGCTTTGTCATGGTTAATATTCTTTTTTCCATGTCATCAGGTGCACAGATGTGAAAAAAACTGGGGACTACAGCCACGTGAACCATAACGCTGGCATATCTGGTCAGTCATCTCCCCGGCCGGTGGTGATCCCACGCACCATGGCCACCATGCATCACAACAGTGTTGGCTTCATAGGTCCCCAGCTGCCACCACACATGAACAAGGTACTTCTTCACCTGAGGGTACTGCTAATGTTGTTGTTTTTGTTAAACCCAGTGTTTGTCTTCTAAAAACCTGTTGTTGTGACTTCTTGTTCCTTCAGAGTTCGCTTCATGTTAATGGGAATGGATCTCTGAGGGACTATCCCACAAGCTCCAAGCCCAGCACCAGCGGCAGTGCGGTGGGGAAACCAAACCATGGACTAGCTACTTCTGCTTCCTCTGCTTCCATCTCCCACTCAGTAAGCCGGCCCACAATGATTCCAGACAGCGACAAACGACAGAAGCTTTCATTTTCAATTGGGCTAAGCAAACCGAACCGCCCATCTGCTTCTTCCTCCTCTTACTGCCAGCCGTCCTCCGCCAGCAGCTCCTCCTCCTCCAGCTCTTTGTCCTCCTCACAGTCTACCTCAGAC